GTGAAGGCAAGGGGCGGAATTTTGGTGTTCTAGTTAGTTAACAGCTCGTTTGAGCAAAGAACAAGATGGCTTGACTATTGTGGTGGGCTACGAGAGACTGATTTAGGTAAAAAAAAATGGGATGAAAAACTAAAATAGGACAAGTATAGGTAGAGTGCTGCTTGGCAAATTGGTGTGTCCATCGATGGTGGTGACAGGTAGATTTTTAGGGTTTTCATTTATGGATTAAAATTTTACGTGCAAAATAGGATGAAAATTTTATTAATTTAATAATTAAATTTTAAAATAATAAAGTAATTATAGATGTTAATCATTAAATTAGCAAATTTTTTTTCCTTTTATCTCTTTATATTTTCTTTATCAAGCAAAACTTAAATGACGGGTCAAGACTTCAGGTTGAGGTTTTGGGGGACTGCTGGTGTTTGGTTGGAGTTCAAGTTATTTCTTTAAACGAAATGGACTATCTTGGAAAAGAACTAAGGGAGTTTATTTATAATGGAATGCTGATAACCCAGGATTTATCTGGAGAGATAAATTGAGGAATTATCATTAATCCCTTCTAAATTCACGGGGCCTGCTGATCGGTGGAGGAGGCTTACGACCGACAGTTTAACTTTCCTCTACCCCAAAATGGTTCGAAAAGCCATCCAGATTAATTCCTTTTCAAAATTAAAACTCTTTCCAACCGATCAATTGGGCATACAGTTGATTGATAGACTATTCCTGGTTCGGTCGAAAGCCCAAATTTGTGGTCCAAAGCCGAGAAAGCTCAACACTAGCGCACTTGAGCTGCGAAAGACCCATCGACTGGTAATGGTTGCTATCGGTTAGCCAATTTCGTTAGACAATCACAATTTCCTTTCTTTTTGAAAAATTAATTAGTTTACTAATTAATCTGGGAACCAAAATTTGGTGATTACATTTATTCTCCAAACAGCCACTATGTGTTAAGGTCCTTATCTAACTTAAATTGAGATTAAACGTTTATCTAAATAAACTCTAAGTTAAGATAAAATTTTTATAACCATCACGAGTTTATTGAAGTTGAAAAGATTAAATATTTCACTTGTAAGATTTAAATATTATTTATTTTGTAGAAAATGATGTTTTAAAAAATATTTTTTAAAAAATGTTTTCATTTTTTGAGAAAGTAAAAAATTTCTATTATTTGAATGAATTAATAAAAATATTTTTTGCTATTTCATTGTTTTTTTTTAAAATTGTTTCTTTTTTCAAATAATATAAATATAGCTATTAAAATATTAAAAGTTATTTATTATTTAAGTATATTGAAATTATTTATTATTAAAATTATTAATATTTAAGAATAATTATATTTTAATAATAATATTTAATAATATTATTATATTTATATAAAATACCTTAGAATAAAACTATTTATTATTCTTTATATTAATATTTTAAAATATTTAAAATAGTAATACTATTCTTAAAATATTATTTTATTAATATTAAAATAATAATATTTATTATTAAAATATTTATATTTTATGTTGAAAGTATTAATTATTAAATCATAACAAAATTTTTTTATTTATATTTATTATTAAAAAGTAGTATAAATACCATAATAAATAAATATAAAATTATATATTTTAAACTAAAAAATAATAAGAAATTATTAAAAATATTCATATTAAGAAAATGATAATAATATTATATTATTTAACATTAATTATTAAAATAATAAAAATATTATTATATATGTTATTATTTATTATTAAAATAATAGTATAGTACTATTTATTATTGAAATATTAAAAATATTTACATTTAATAATATACAAAATAAAAACATTTAAAATTGAAGTATCAAAATACACTTTTAATGCCAATATCTTAATTTTTTAATTAAAATTAAATAAAATATTTTATTAATATAATAATATTTCAAGTCGAATCAAATCAAGTTCGAACTTAAAACATTATGTTCAAAATTTTACTTAATTATAGTTACACAATATTTAAAATAAAATATTAAATGATTTTTAATATTAATATTTTAACTTTTTAAATAAAATTAAATAAAAATATTATTTATTAATATAATAATATTTTAAGTTAGGTCAAATTAAATTTGAGCTTAAAAAATTTTGTACAAAGTCTGAGGAAAATTATATTTAAATACATTGATAAATAATTTTACTTATAGAGAACTCTTTTTTAAAAATTATCTTTTTTTTTAAGGGTAAAATAATTTTAAAAAAATTATCTCATTTTTCATTGATCGGTAAATCATTTGTTGTTGATTAGTTAGTTTTCTACTAAACAAAATTTGAAAATATAAAATTATTTTTTAGAAACCATTTTTTTTTAAACAAACGAAATCTTAGATTCATTTTCATTGCAACAACCCATCTTGATGAGCACATTGTAAATCTAATGTAACCAACAATCTTTTTTAATAAGCAAATTTGAAATGAGATAATCTACTCTCATTTAAAATTTTTTTAAAAAGTTAAGTTTTTCTTTATGTCATAAGAAAATAATAGAAAGAATATGAAACTAATAGAAGGAAGGGGGAATTTCAAAAAGGATGGTCCACTAAGAATATTTATTAGTTAGTCCTATGAGGAAAATAATTAATAAAAATATTAATAATTAATAAAAAATGTTATTATGTAAAATTAGTAACGAGGAAATGACAATGACTTTTATAACTTTAATTTCAAAGATTATACTATTATAATCTTATGCAATTATCATATGTACAGAAAAGATAAAATAAATGCATATTTAGTTAAAAAATATGTATAGTTTTCAAAGATTATACTATTATAATCTTATGCAATTATCATATGTACAGAAAAGATAAAATAAATGCATATTTAGTTAAAAAATATGTATAGTTTTCAAAATATGTGCATTAATAATTGTTATACATTTAAAAGTGGTGCCCCATATTTCATTTTTAATATGTCTTTATATTTAAAAAAATATGATTCTTAGTTTTAAATCTAGCATCACTCGATAGCAAAATAACAAAATTTTTTTATAAAAATATACATTCGGATATGGAATGTATATAAAATGAGAGAATTTGTACATTTAACAAGAAAAATATTTATAATAAGTTTAAACTATATATATTGTAAAATTTATATTCTTAATTTTAAATACATATTATTGTTCTTTAAGGGTGTTATTCGGTCAATTGGGTTAATTTTTTATTAATTGAATAATAAATATATATTTTAGTTAAATTATGTTTTAAATTCTTAATTTTTTGTATTCTAAACAAACTAAATAAAATTATTTAACAAAATATTAAAATACCAAAAGTATTATGTTAAAAGCTCTAACAACTTATGAAATATAATGATCCATTTCATATATTTTTTGTTTTATATTTAAATTTTATTATATTTCAATTAAAATTTCAGTTAATTCAATTTTCAAACCGAATTAACAAAAAATCAAATTTTTTTTAAAATTATTTTTGTTAATCGATCAAAATTAATTCGATAACTAATTAATTAATAAAATTAAATCAATTTGATCGATTAATCCAATTAAAACTAAATTGTGAACACCTCTATTGTTCTTTACATAATCATTTTTTTAAAACCTTATGAATTTTTTTTATAGCTATGAATATTTCAATATTTTTAATATTTTTTCCTTATCTTATTCATCGATAAGCATAAGTTTTAGATTTATACAGATGTACATATATTATCTCCTAATTGTACATATTTTTCGATCAAATATACATATATTATGTATGTTATGTACATACAATAATCACATCTGATTATTTACCCATTATATATTGGGATCATAAAAGTTATTATTATTTTCTCTATAAATTTTAAATATTGATATTTCTTATTCACTAATTATTTTTTTATTATAATACAAATTAATCAATATTCTTGATAAACCACTTAATTTTGTAATTCCCCCTAGAAAGAATATAAAGCCAACGGGTAACTCTCATCCAAGGTCGCTTGGCGTCATCTTCATTTTATTTTTCTATTTTCAAATTTCAGTTTTTTTTAAATAGCAATAGCAAAATATTTGGCAAAATGTTGTTGTTTAAAAACAAAAATAAACTACAATAAACGCAAAATTTTTAAAATTGTGCTAGAATTTCTTATTTTCATTGTTTTTGAAAATATATACTCATTTTGATACTATTTAATGTGAATAGTGAGTATGTATTAAAATAATAATATTATTATTTTCATAATAAAAAATAAATGAAATTAATTAATTTATAAATAAATAAAAATATCAAAGTTAGTAAAAATAATAATAAATAAAAAATATTTAATTTTGAATATTTCAAAATTAACATATAATTTTATTTTGAGTACAAAAATATATTATTATTATTATTATTTAATATAATTATTTAATAAATATGTTATTATTTTTATTTAATTCATAAAATTTTGTTTTGTGTAGTAAATTATTACATTTGCAACAATTTAATATTTATTTTCTATATTTAACAATATTACTTACCAAATATGTTTTATGTTTTTAAAAAACAAAAAATAGATAATGGAAGATGAAACCAAATTATCACATTTATATAAATATGAAAATAAGAAATTGAAATTTGTGCTGAAAATATTGAAAAAAATTAAACGCGAGTAGTAAAAGCGTCCATGAATTAGATTGTGTTGTGATCGATTGGCATCTCTAAATGCCAAGCCTAACTTGCGCCCTGCACGTCAACGCCCATCTATTTAGTTTAGGCTTGATATTATTTAAATATTAAAAAATATTTTTATATTAATATTTAATGTTTTTAATTTTATTTTAAATTTTGAATTAAATAAAATAATTTTGATTGGTTAAATAATATCTCAAACCGACCAACAAACAGTCAAGCTTCAAAGTTTCCATCGAAAACCTGGCCTGGGGGCTTAATGGGCTACTAGTTATTCATGCAGTTTCCAAGAAAACGCAGGGAACTTGCAGCCTAAAAGGACTTGGTTATGACCTTCTAAAACCAATGGCACGTCAAAACGCGGTCTTTTACAGTTTATTCAACCCGAAAACCCATTGCATTAAGCTTTCTCTCTACAGATAAAAAGTTCCAAAGTTCCAACTTCTTCTACCCTTAAACAACAACTAGTTTTGCCAATGATGGCTTTGAAGAGCTTTCCAAAACTTTCAATTCTAACTGTTATTGTAGCCTTAGTACTATCCCATAACCTGTATGAAGCCTCAGGCTCAGCTGCTTCTGGCGGTCGGATGGGCGGCTCTTCTTTCTCTTCAGAGAGGTCACCTTCTTCAAGCAGGCATCACCATCATTATTATCATCATTCGTCTGGAGTTTATAGCTACAATTCCCAGCCTAGTTTTTCTGGGAACGCCAATCAAGAGAATGGTTATTCGGCGGCTGTTGCTTTTTTAATAGTAACGATATTTGTGGGAGCAGCTTCACTCTTGGTCAACCATGAAGGTAGAATAAGTATTCTACAAATTCAGGTATCACACGACTTGCTTGCTTTAGTATCAATGTATTAATCAAGAAGATTTTTTCCTTTTTTTTTTCCCTTTATTGTTACAGCTATTTGCTCACATTATATTACTAGCAATGTTGGATATATTCCTACTAGTATTCAACTATAACAGAACTGTAACAAGATGCATTTGTTGTGCTTTTAAGGAGGTCTTGCAATTGTAAACCAAACTGTAAAAATTGCATTATTGTCCTGTACAATTGAAAGCAAATGATTGCTTTTCTAACTATTTTAAGCATTTGATAGAAAATATCATGAAACCTAGCTGCTATCAATAATTATCCTCAATTGATATCATGTTATGAAGTTTCAACTCAAGGCTAAAATAGACTCGACTCTTGGTGCCTTTGAAATTGTCATGCTTATCAATGAGACCTTCAACTATACCATTAAAAAGATCCTAGAGGAATCAAGACCGTCCCATTAGGTTGATCCCTTGTTTGTTTGTTGGGTCCAAACAATAAAATTGTCTTGATTTCTCCTAAACCTTTGTCGCTTAATGCTTCAATGCCTCAATTGGTTCATGTAGCCACGCTTAAGGTGACATTTAGCAGGTTTGGAGTTCAGATCCTAGTAATTGTAACCCTTTCCCTTATCCCAAGCTATGACATCCTTTGTACGGAAAAAAAAAAAAGAACCTCCGATGGCTTTCCTAATTTGACTCCGTAAATCATCCACCTAAGCTCTATTCATTCCCTTACAAGAAAAATATTTTACAACAATGGCATTCAAGTTCACAGAAAAACTTGTAATTAAAATTTTTCCTTGTTTTCATTCTTTTCCTCTGCTTTATGAATGTCTCTTATGCTTCTCCCTCTAGTGGAGCTATGACAGTGGTGAAGGTTATGGAAGTGAAATTGAATACGTTGACAAAACAATTTTGATCTTGTCCTCTGTTTCTTGGACTAGTGACCAAGGAGTTTTAAGGAGGACACAAAGGTTTTGGTTTCGAACCGCAATCTCCTCCCCCTTCCCCCATGGGCTATGCCCATCGTATGTACCAAAAAAAAATTAATTTTGATAATTGTTTGGACTTTTTTCGTGTTGGAATGGTTATCACTATTCTATATTGCATTTTCAAGGGAGATAGCTTCCTCATGCTTCAGCTATTGTCAAGTTCAACTCGTGGTTTGTTTCAGCCGTCATTTTGTTGCTTTGTTGATGAAATTTCATTTTGTGTTTTGATAGTTGGCATTTGAGAAACTACAAAAAGCTAAAAAGTGGGATTCTTTTTTGTTATTTTGCTTATTATACATTTCAATCACAAGGGAGTACTCTTTTTACACTAGTAAATTTTCTTCCCTATTTTTTCAGGTTGGCTTATCTGCAAAAGCTCATTCGTTGCAAAGAGAACTGACTGAAATTGCCTTGACAACAGACACTTCTACCGCAAATGGCTGGAACATCGTATTGGAAGGTTTTTTTTTTTTTTTTGTGATTTTTCTAGTACTCCACTTTTGATTAATTCTAGTATTTCAATTTTATTTCCTTTTCTTTTCTTGCTTCTTTAATCGACACATTAATCTTCATGGCTTGATAGATTCTCCGTTATTTCTTTTCTTCTTGCCTGTCTTGTTACCATTGTAATCCAGTGTAAAACACTATAATGTGCTCAAATATTCAGATGCATTTCACGAGCACTAAAAATGCTAAATTCTCTAGGAATTGAAATCATCTTTGATAGAAAGTTATCTAATTTTTGTATTTTTGATCTTTTCTTTTGGATGCAGAAACAATATCATCATTGCTTCATCACCAAAACTGCTACATTTATAGCTATTCATCTGTAAGTACAACTTGCATAATGCTTTCTCATCTTATAGTTCCTATGTACCTTCTGTTGTTCTTCATGTCACAAAGATTTATTACAGGCTTTAATTGAGCTTAAAAATTTGACCATTCATTTCCATTTAAGTGCTTGTTTCTATTAGTAGCTATACTGTCAGAAGGCTAAATTGCAATATTTGTTTCCTGTGTATTAGAAAGATGTTCAATTAATGAGCCTTGGTAATGTTGTCTTGTTGAGTACTATTGAACATTCAAGTAACATGGGGGGATAGAAGAATTGGCATTAACTAATTCCTTGTGACTAATAACTCCAATTTATATCCTAAGTCTGATGAAGCAGTTGCCTTTATTCTACCTAATTACAATTTTATTCTGATGATTTTCCTCACAGGTAACTCGTCATTGGACTATCGGAGGTGCTGAATGGCACTTTAAACGACTTTCCAAGGAAGAACGAGAAAAATTTGATGTACAGTCACTGGTAAACATCAACAATACTAAAAGGCAAAGAGCAGTTGTTCCAAAAGCTGACAAAGTTAACAAGGACTGCATAGTGGTATGAATTCCACTATTATTTTCAGCTATTTCATTCTAAAAACTTTTAGAAATAAGTTCATCAGACTGGCTTATTCAGATTCTTTGATCCGTATTCATTTCATCAACCTTCAAACATGTCTTATTCATAGGTGACAGTTCTGGTGGCTGCTCAAGGTGCACACAGCCTGCCTACTATCTGGACTACTGACGATATGAAGGAGGCCTTGCAATCTATGGCAGAAATCTGCTCTAGCAAACTCAAGGTAAAGACTGAAATCTTCATATGTGATCCTAGCTTATTCGTTCACCTTTGATGTCTAATAAGTACTAATTTCTATTCTCTTTTAGGCTGTAGAGGTGCTCTGGAGCCCACAAGATGAAACTGATTCTTTGTCAGTTGAAGAATTGCTTGAAAATTACCCGCAGTTAAGGCGACTATGATGACTGCTACAAATTTCGCCTGTGAAGATGTAGTTTGATACATACTAATTTCAAATTCTATATACAAGTCAATGCTTTCCTTGTAAATTTTTCTTCCAAAAATGTTGGTGTTGATAGCTTAATTTGCCTTGTTATTCGGAGCTTTTTTGATGTAACCAACGAAAGTACACAACATATATAACCCTGATTAGGTGTTAAACTTTATGGTGAAAGATTTTGTTTATGATGAAAAGAAGAAGAAAAAAGAAAACTGTAAATCCAAGTATTTTATCGTTGATCAATAACGACATTGATATCTTTATGATCCCATATAGATGCTTGTACCAAGTTTTGAGCGTGCCGTCTACCTTGTCTTCATTTATTAATAAGCTCCAGAAAGGTCATACCAACGAATGTGTTTGCAAAAGCAATGGACTGCACAAACTAGAGACATATGCTAGAATTGTCAACAAAGATGAGTTATTCTCTCAAATATTTTTAACTTGTTCAACTGGCTTAATTGTCAATGACATTTCACAAAATCCCTAAAACATAAATTTAATAGGCTGTAATGATGGTGTCTGCGAAAATGTAGGGGAAGTTGCAGCCTTGCAGGGGATTATTGCCATGCCCTTTCAAAAACCAATGGCATGTGAACGGTCTTTTATGGTACATACTACTTATCCAATAGGCCAAAACCCACTGCATTATCAAGTTTTTTCTCTAATGGAAAAGGTTCCATCTTCTTGCATCATGTTGCCTGGATCCATCATTTTCACCTCAAAACAACAACCAATTCTAAAATTTCCAATATTTGCTCATATTGTAGCCTTGATACTATTCCACAACATATATGCATGCATCTTCTGGGCGTCCGATGGGCCGATCTTTGAATTTTTCAAAGTAGTTTTTTGAAAATTCTCCAATTGATCTTCTAAGCTTAAACTATTATATTCCATGCATTTTATTATCAAAGTGAATCGGTTTCCCTTGGGATGCATATTTTTTCTGTTTTCTTAAAATTTTCATTCTCCTTTTTCTTTGTTGATAACTCTAAAAAATAGAGTTATTTAAAATAGTTTTTAGTGAAAGAAGTTTGCTAAATTCTTTGTAAAATAAGATACTTTTTACTTTTAGCGTTTTTAATTTGATGATGTGTAGGTGATCTTAATGTGTAAGTAACTTGATTTTTTTGTATACACCACACAATTTCCATTTTTATTGTGTACTTCGTAATAACCATTAAAATGTTGCATTTTATACTTTAATGTCTAGGTTTGGACCTACAACTTTCTTTCATTCACTTTCAAAAAAACTAAGTACGGATTAATTTGCTGGCATCATCTTTGATGATTTCACCCCCCAATATTATTCAAAGAAAGCGTGCTCGTAGTGCATGTAACTTTCCAAGAAAATGTAGGGAAACTACCTGCTGGGACATGCCCACTTGAAAAACCCCCCACAACTACAATGAGTATTTTCTCTATAAGTAGTTAAGTAATTATCCATTTGCACCACCACCGTATATCCATATATCTATCCCTAAGTCTTTGCTCAAGCAGCAGACGATGGCTTTAATCAATACCATTCTAGCCTCAAAGCATCGGCGTCCAAGGGATAACCGATCCTCCTTCTCAGCTTCCAGGTCAATAAGGTCATCACCATCATCATCATCATCGCAACACTTAAATTATTCCTATCAATGTCCTGCTGGTTGTCAAATAATGATCTTGGTAGCAGTTGCTGCAGTTTCTTACTTGCTATGGGTAAATTTGGTTTGAACAAAACCGTGACAAAGGCTGAAAATCTCCGAATTCTGGAAGGATTTGAAGTAGGAAGATTTGGAAGAATAAAATTGTGGGGATTGTGTTGTGATACAGGAAAGTATTGATTTTCCAAGATTTTTCTAAGGAAAGTTACAAGATAATTTGGTAATCCAAGAGCATTTAATTATTGATTCAGAAAATATATCTAGAATCAATTATAATAAATTATAATCTCTAATACCTTTTTTATTAGTATTTTTCATATATTGATTGCACTGCCCTTACAAATAGAAGTTATATGTATTCTTTCATTCAAGTGAAAATAGTAATAATATAATCTTTTGAGCCTTTATCTCTTGATGTAAATCAGGTCAAACCAAGTCTTTTATTTATTTATTTATTTTGGTGTTCTTATATTTTTATCTTATCTTTTATTTATTTTTCATTTAGATATACCCTTAATTAAAACTTAACATATGATACGTGTAATGCCTAAGTTCAAGTACAAGTAACTCTACTAATATAAAAAAAAAAAAATTAATTTCTTGTACAATTATATCTAATACTATTATTATTTGAATTTTTTTAGCTATGTTATATCTAAATTCGTTGGTTGATTTATTCATATAATTAATTAATAAATTTTTATATAAATTAATATTTTATTATAATTGTAATTATATATATAATTTCTTTGAAAAAAAAAGTTACTATTATTCTTTAAAAAAGCAAATCACGAATTACTAGCCATTAGATATCAAAAGTCGCAATCACTTTCCTTGAAGTTTCAAGGAAACTGAAGTTTAGTAGATTTTTTTTTTATTATTTGGAGTAGAATTCAAATTTAATTTTTTTTAATACGTAATATATACACTACCATTAAATCAAATATTCAAATGTAATTTTCACTCTTTTCATGCGGAAGGTAAAAATTTTTTGTTAATCTTAATGTATAAATTTTAACCTTTATTTTTATCCATTGGATAGAGAATAGAGATGAAAATGGGCGGAGTTCGAATTTTTACTTTATATGTTTTTTTAATCATTAAATTAAGAAGCTTGAAGACAAATTTTAACTTTTAAATTTGATATAAAATATTCTAACAATTGATCTATTACACATTAGTCATTATAATTATTGTCAACAATAATATTAACTAAAAAAAGAAAAAGTTACTACATTGTTGATCAGATGAACCATAAAATAGTAATTTTCATATTTATTTGACCCAAAAATATGATAAGATTTCATAATATTTGTTGTAATTTATTTTGTAACACGTTAGTTTATGCACTCTCATTATGTGGGTAAAATAATAAATAATTTTATAATTAAAAAGGTTAAAATAAAAACATATAAAAAAATTACGGCTATCTAAAAATACATATTCAATGATATAGTTATTTAGAAAAGATTAAAAAAAAGGCATAAAAATTTTAACATAAGTAAAATTTTTAAAAATATATATTAAATATCCTGTCAACAATTATATTATTAAGGTAAATGTTAAAAGAGAAAATTGCAATTATTTAAAAATGTAATTAAAAGATAAAAAAAAGTATCCATATATTTTTAAAGAAAGTGAAAAATTAAAATATCTTTATTAATTTATTTTTATTATTACATAGTATAGATACACATGTATACAACTGGTAAAATCTTTTCACACTAAAATCAATTTTTTTTATTACATGACATGGAAGAATAAAATTTTACTTTCTTTTTGGCTAAATATATAAAAAAATTACTTTAAAAAACATTTTTAATAGTCAATAATGGTAAATTGGCGTGGGTTAAGAACAATCCAACGGTTCAGATTTAAAAAAAAAAAAAAATCATTCCCATCTAAAATCAGTTACTGAGTGTTTGGCCTAGTTTATAGAAAAACTTATCGATTACAAAAACGAAAGTTAAGCGTATGGCTCTTAAAATTTTAAAAATTTTAATTTATTGGAGAAGCAAATTTGACTTTTTAGACAAATCTATAAATTAAAGCTGTTTCAAATAATACTAATGAAAAATTTTCTTTACTCTTCAATAAGTTACAAAATTATAAAAAAGGATTATATTTCTCACTTTAATCTTTAATAATTCACAAAATTATAAAAGTAAAATTATATTATTTTACATTTTATTTTATTTTATTCATTTTTTACTGAATTCATTTACTTTTTATTATAATTAATAAAAAAATCTCTTTAATTATTTTATTTATTTTTCACCTAAATTTTATGATTTAATTTATTAATAAAGTTGATTGTTTTATTTTTATTAAAATATTATGAAATAATTTTTTTTTTTTTAACATTCTACAATACTTTTGTAGTAAGTTTGTCGAATGATATTTTAGCTTCTCTTCATAACAATTTTAAAACAGCTATACTATTATAGCACTTCTTATTTTAATATCCATATCGCAAGATACAGGTTCAGGAGGCTGACCATAGGATAAAAATTTTAAAACCAATCAAAATCAAGAGTCGTCATTAATCTTTTTTAGTAGTGTAATTAGTCACCTAAAAATTTATCTTTTTAATAGAACAAAAAATAAGTTTAAAGATTATCAAAAAAATAATTTTGGTCTTCGAAAATAAAGTTGAGTTCAAAAGTATGATTATGTGTGAGGAAAGATTAGCACTTTCAAAGTACCCATTTTAAAAATGGTACCAATTAATGCATATTATCCTTGAGTTTTGATAAAACTAGCCTTGGCTTTAATATTTAAAGATAATTACTTGAATTTCATTTTTTTCACAAAATCTCTTCTTTTTTTTTGTTCTTTTATTTTGAAAATGTAAATCATTTTTATTTTTGGATTAAAATGGAAACCTTTGGTATTAAAACATTTTCTAAACTCCCTTATATTTAGGCAAAATTTTTTTAAAACACCTATTTACTTTGGGGTCTCCATAATAATCTATCAAAATGAAATATTATTCTTTATAAAGATAATTATTGAGAATCCTCATATATTTAGTCCAAGTATCAAAGATTAGAACTATTACCTTATTTATTTTTAAAACGTTTCTTTTCTTCATTTTAAAACCATGAATGCAACAAAATAAATGATACGAATCACAAAGCTAAATACTCAAAACATAAATGATATGCTTTCTCATATAAAATACCAAATATAAATAAAATGACACGAGAATGACAATATAAAAGTGATAATGCATTTGTAATTATTAAACAAGTAAAATGTAAATGCATGGGAATGTGATTTGGGTTTAAAGTTTTGGGTTGGAATCTATGGTTTGAAAAAGGTTTTAAACTATTTTAGGCTTTAAGTTTGAAGTTTAGGATTAAATTAGGGTTTAGGGTTTGGGTAGGTTTAGGGTTTCGATTTTAAAGTAGGTTTAGGGTTTCGAGTTAAGGTTTTGATTTAGGTTTAGGGTTTAGGATTTGGTTTAAGGTTAGGGTTTAGGATTGGTTTAGGGTTAGGGTTTACGATTCATGGTTAAGTTTAAGGTCTGATTTTGAGTTAGGCTTTGGTTTAGGGTTTAGGGTTTAGGGTTTGAGGTTTAGTTTAGAGTTTGGTATGGCATTTCGGGTTTGATTTAGGGTTTAAGATTGGGGTT